CTCTGGAGGCAGATGCAGGTGGATCTTTGTGAGTTCGAAGCCAGCCTGCTCTACAGAGTGAGTTCCAGGACAGGCTTCATACACAGAGAAACCCTGTCTCGATAAATAAATAAGAATAATGTTGTTCATACGCATTCCAGAGACCTAACTAGACCACAATTCAGAATCTCCAGATATCAGTCAAGTCCAGGAATTTGGTTTTTGTCTAAACACTCCAATAGGACAAGCTACATACTTTGTTCAAAACACATGAAGGATTTGTGGATAGTGACAAGAGCAGACTTAGTCATGCCTGGCACATGCCTGTAATCCAGCACTCAGGAGTCCATTAGGAAGATTGCAGCTTCCAGGACAGCTGAGTTATACAGCATGACCCTCTCCCAGAAACAGTAGAGCGTCAGAACACACAGGACCCCTCAGGACATGTGGATTCTTACCAATGCACACAGGCTGTGCCTCCGGTGTCACTCCCCAAAGTTTGAGATGCTCCACCTGAAGGAGCATTTGTTCCATAACGTGGAATTATAATGTTTATCACTAGGAGCAGTAGTATTGTGTACATATGGTGTGTGTGTGTGTGTGTGTGTGTGTGTGTGTGTGTGGATGCAGACACGTGCACACTACAGCTTCCACAAGTCAGTTCTTGCCTTCCACCTTGTGTTTGAGGTGAGTCTCTCTGCTGGCTGGCCCAGGATTGTCAGTGTGGATCTCTTGTCTCCACCTCCCATCTTGCTGTAGGAGTGCTGGGATTACAGACGTGTGCCACCACATCTGGCTTTTACCTGAGCTCCCAGGATCAAACTCAGGTCTTAAGACTTGAGTGACAAGTGCTTTCCCTGCTGAACCATCCCATGTCTCGCCAAGCAGGGAAGTAAAGAGGAATCAGACATGTCATAAGGTGTCTTATTCCTGCAAAAGCAGCTAAGTGTTTTTTTATGTATGTGTATATAATGTGTATATATGTATGTGTACATGTATGCATGTGTGTGGCAGTCAGGAGACAACCCCAGCTGTTAAATCTAGCCTTCTACCTCATTTGCTTCACGACCATATATGCCAGGCTAGCTGATCCATGGCTGTCCCTTCCTGTCTCATCATAGGTGTACTACAATTACAGGCATGCTCTACCACTTTGGCTTTACCTAGGTTCTGGGGATCTGTGCTTTACACAGTGAGCACTTTACTCCCTGAGCTATCCCCTCCAGCCCAGCAATGCAGTTTTAATCAGAAACTCCTGCGGAGTCCCCCAGCCTGGGGCTGACTCATGTCTAGAACTGTGGGCTTTCAGTGACGGGAGACAGGCTGAGGGACCCTAGGTTAGTCCCTCTGCTGGCTGATTCCAGTGGAGCAGGAAGTTGAAGACATAGGGATAGGCAGTGGCCCTCAGAATCTCTGTGAGCTCATTGTTTGTTACCACCTAAATCTGGGGCACTGTGTAGCTGCTGAGACCTTAGCCTTCCTGCTCCTAGGTAATGGCCACCTTGTGGTTCCCATCTCTTCCTGTGAGGATTAATTTCCCACCATCTCGGCTGCCCTGCGTCATGGCCTCGTTATTCAAAGCCATTTCCAGGTAGCATGTTCTACTTGCCACCAAACACACATCTCAGATTATCAAAACAGTCCTCGAGCAGAGCAGGGCCGCCCTCATGAGAGAGTCGGCAGCGCATGGCTGATCCAAAGCTAGAACATACAGCTCAATGAAGGAAGCTCAAGCTGGGAAGAAACGGCTCAAGTGCGGCACCCACTTTACCCTGACCTCTGCCACCAGCTCCTCTACCCTATAGAAACCGCTTTGGTTCTTGTCTCCGGGACTCAGTCGGTAGGACATAGACAATGTGTCAATCAAATGCAGTCCTCCAAGAGCAGTGCTGTTCCATCGAGTTTGCTATGCTGACAGGAATGGTCAGCATCTGTGTTGTTCAGTGTAGGAGAGTGTAGCCATCAAACCACTTGGACTGTGGTTAGTAAGACCAAAAACCGAGGAACAGAATTTAAAAAACAATGTTTCAGAGGCTAGATGTGGAGTTCAGTGACATAACATAATTTCAGCAGGTGAAAGACTCCAGCTCACCCCCAACACAAAAACAAACAACATAAACCAAGGAGGTGAGCGGTGGTAACACACACCTTTAATCTGAGTTCAAGGCCAGCCTAGTCTACAAGAGCAAGTTCCAGGGCAGCCAAGAATATACAGAGAAACAGTGTCTTGGCTGGAGAGATGACTTATCAGTTAAGAGCACTGACTGCTCTTCCAGAGGTCCTGAGTTCAATTCCTAACAGCCATATGGTGGCTCACAACCGTCTGTAATGAGATCTGGCATGAGGCATATATGCAGGCAGAACACTGTATACATAATAAAATCTTAAAAAAAGAAAGAAAGGAAAAGAAGCAGTGTCTCAAAAAACCAAAAAATGAAGTAAAATAAAAATATAAATAAAAAATAACCAAGGAGCTAAGCTCGAGGCACACATCTGTCACCCAGCACTCAGGAAGCTGTGTCAGGAGGATGATCACTGGCTCCAGGCCAGCCAGGGCTACAAATAAGAGTAGGACCTTGTCTCAAGACACAAAGCCAGGCATGGTGGTACAAAACCTTAATCCCAGTCCTCAGGAGGCAGGGGCAGGAGGCTTTCTGTTCAAGGCCAGTTGGGTCTAAATGTTGAGTTCCAGGCCAGCCAGGGCTATACTCACCAGCCCACAAAGTAGAATTTGCATTGTTACACCCAACAAGGATTTAAGAAGGAGATTTCAGTGGACTGGAGGAAATATTTCACAAATAAGAAAGCCGGTAAGAATGGCACAGTCTCTCAAGTTAGTTCCTAAAAGAAAAAGAAAAGGGAACCCTCATCTACCTGTCACCGGAAGGAGGTGTGGAACAAGAATTGTGGGCATTTTGAAAATCATCACCAGGTTTGCTCATTACAGAGAAGATCTGTTAAGCCATGCTAGTTTCCTCTAATTTTCATATTTTCCTGGGGAATAACTGCAGCATTTTGATGATTTTCTGTTACCCTTATTCCTGTTCTGTCTGTCTGTCTGTCTGTCTGTCTGTCTGTCTTCTCTCTCTCTCTCTCTCTCGCTCTCTCGCTCTGTGTGTGTGTGTGTGTGTCAAGACAGGATTTCTCTGTGTAGCCCTGACTGTCCTGGAACTCACTCTGTAGATCAGGCTGGCCTAGAACTCAGAGATCTGCCTGCCTCTGCCTCCTGAGTTCTGGGATTAATAGCATGCTCCACCACTGCCCAACTACTGTTTATATTTTTAATTAGAATTCTCCAAGGAACATTTGTCTGCCTCACTTATTTCTCTGGCAAATCATTTCTCTCATGGTGGTCTCATGTCTGCTTATTTTTTCTTTGAAAGGACATATAGTCATGTTTTATCCTTATCTCCCAGGTTGGGATAGCTTTTCTAAAAGCAAAGGTGACCTAAGACAATCTGAAGAAGTGATGGACTGCCATAAAAGGGAAGGATAGCCAAACACTGCCATTGAAGACAAGAGTGTCTAGGATTGCAAATTCTGCTGTGAGCCTACAGCCATGCCACCCCGAATGTGCTTGAGCACGTATAATCGTGAGATGAGATCAGAGTAGAGATACCCACTAGAGCAAGAATGGGAAGTCTAGCCAGTCGGTGGCAGTGCACACCTTTAATCTCAGCACTGGGAAGCAGAGGCAGGTGGATCCCTGTGAACTCAAGGCCAGCCTGGGTCTACAGAGTGAGTTCCAGGACAACGAGGGCTACACAGAGAAACCCTGTCTCGAACAACCACAAAGAAACAAAGAATGGGGAGTCTTAAGTCCTAGCTAACGGCTCAGAGTCCTGACCACACCTCCCCTGTGTGTGCTCTTTGGCACATCACATCTCTCCTCCCTTGCATCTGTTTTCCTAAAGAGACAACGAAAGTACAGGCTGACTGGAGATCAGTGGTTCTTGTGTAAGCACATATGACAATGAATCTCAGGAGGGTTCAGGACAGGACTACAGGGCTGATCTTATGCTCGAGTGCTATCATGCTCAAGGCCCTAGGTTCAATCCCTAGCATCACATAACAAATAAAACTAAGCTGCTAGCCTGGTGCTTAGACTGTGCAGCTGAGCAGGTGGGATCAAGGCTTTGTGTTTCCAGCATGATGCTAGGTGCTATTGCTGCTGAAGGTTCCCAGACACTTTGAGATCCCCTTCATCCAGATGCCCACTAAGGACCTTATCAGCTTTCACTCAAACAGCAAACCTCTGTGAGTTCTGTGAAGAAGTCCCTAGTGCAGTGGTCTAACAGGGGACGACCCTGAGAATAAAGTGGGAATTGTGCAGTGGACACTGAGTTACCACCCTGTACCATGGGTGACACTGAGCAGCTCTGAGACCCAGTCTCTGCCCAGGGAAGGACTAAGGGGAATAATGAGGTACAATCTGGAATCTGGGTTATACTAAGCAACTGTGTTGCCCTGAGTAAGGGACTAAATGACTGCTTGCCTCAGTTTCCCACCCTACACAGCAAAAGGACATTGGTCATGCTTATGACCTGGAATAAGAACATGTTCACCTGACACCTGATGCTGCTGGCACTATTTGTCCGTAAGTCTGTCTAGTGGAGGGAAATGGCAGTGACAGAGCACTAGCTACTTCCAGAACATTCCCACGCAGCAATGCCATCCAGTCTGGATTCGCACCCTCTGATTTCAAGGCCATCACAAACTGTAAGCCAGATTATTTAGATCATGTCAATATAATTTATTAAATAGATTCTGAGGGTTCCTCCAAGGAGTGTTAACAACTCAGTACATAAATACCAATAAATAAATATAGCTGCCACTTCCAGCCCCCACAAGGGTGGAAGAATAAGGTTTTGGTGGACAGAATAAAGACATCATAAATAACAAGGCTTGTCACGATGGCACAATCTCTTTCGAGTTAATCCTTCCAGTGCAAGCCCAGCCCTCTGAGGACAGGTACTGCTGAGGACACTAGAGTTCTTCCTTCCCTAGAGCACCTCCGTCAATCAGCATATCCTGTCCTTAGCCTCCAGTTTTGCCATGCAGTCTGAGAACCGTTTCAAAACAGTCAGTGTAAAGATTTTGCGTTCATGGAAATCTTCAGGCTCAGAAATGCTTGGTTTTGGTGGATTGGAACACCTGATGTCGTCCAGCCGTTTTGTGACATTAGTGGTGTCTGCTCTGTTGTCGCTCAGCCTTTTGGCTGTCTCCAGATACACTTGGATGGTTGAGATACTGGTTGACGCTTCGTAGCCCAGGGTGAAACATGGCAGCTGGAGGGACTCGTTTGTTGGCAGCCCATCCGCATCTTTTTTGCTCTGTAGAAAGAGGAAAAGGTTTGTAAGCACCCCAGAGATCTGAGGACTCATGTCTGCGTGACTCAGGCCTAATCTAAGTGGCACAGCAACCCTGTGAGACTCGGGCCATCACCAACCTGGTGCCTGTAGGGATCTAAGGCATCACTGGTTTATGAGCTGCCAGACGGACACAGCACACCCACCCAGGTTGGCCATGTTGATTTTTCCTAAGGATGCTTGTAACCACTCTTCGCTCCTGTTCCTCTATCCATCTGGCTAAAGACACCTCAGATGCTCAGAGGTGAGTTGGGAAAGGGAGCTTAGCTGAGTTTCCATGCAGCTCCCTCCTCTTCATGCCTCTGTATGAAGGCCACTGGTGCTACGTGTTGGTAGAGGATGGTTTATGCATGCCTGCAAAGATTTCTGAAACGCTAGGGAGAGTTTCTCAAGTAAACCAAGTACTCATGGTCCTTCCTTGCTACACCCCTCCTTAAAACTGACAGCTGGCTCAGCACTTCTACCTTTGAGTCTATTAAAGCCAAGGATAAAGTTTCAATGCCAGGACAGACAACAAGGTCAATGCTAATATCTCTGTCATTTCCAATTTGGGTGTTTAACTGAAGTTATCCAAGAGGTCTGGAGGAAGTGAAGTATTCACACATATTGAGTCTTGTGTTATACTCCTGCCAGGATTGCCAAGACAGAGGGCCTTCCAGTAATCTCCAAGCATGCACAGATAGTTGTCTGGTTAGTTGACTGTTCTGAACTAGCCAGAGGCACCAGAGACCCAAGGGCCCTGCTTCCACTAGGACATCTTTTGCTGCTTCTCAGGGGGTTCATGAATCTAGCTGCTCCATCTCTACAGACACATTTCTAGCACCAATGCTCATTTCCTGGGACAGTGAGCCAGGAGATTTGAGATAAAGAAGGCTGCAAGCTCACATCCTGTAGTCTTTGGGAAGTTGCTGATGTTTGGGTCGCTAGACTAGTCTGCCTCTGCCTCCTGTTAGTGCATTTACCCCTCATAAATACCCCACCCCAGCTTGTCTGATTCTTTCCCATTCCTCTCTGGCCTCCATAGCTGGTTTCACATCTGGAAAGAACAGCTGTTCTGTAGAGCAAAATGGGGCATTTTAAAGAAGCAGTTTGGAAAAGAAATCTCAAGGCACTTACATAGTCTTCATAAAGTTCCTTAGACTCCAGTTTCAGCAGTTCAAGTATAGTTTTTATCATAGTTGCTGTTGGCGCACCAAAGGATAGGCTGCAGATGGCCAGCCAGGTTCCTACACAGCAGAGCAGCACCAGGGCAGGCTTCGTTGGTCCTGGAGAAAGAGAAGGTATGCCATGAGGCTCATGGGTCAGATGCCCCTGCGTGGGTCAGCCTGCCTGGTATAGCTGTTCCTATCTCATTCCCCTAGATGGTAAGAGCCATGGAGCTGAAGCCATGTGAGCTGCAGAGCCAGTGGTACCTGTGTGGCAGATCATAGCGATGCTGAGACAGTGAGTAAAACCTGCTTTGCTTGTGGCCTCTGGAGCTTGATGTGTTCGCCATGGCCACCAGGCAATATATAAAGGGCCGGTGAGGAGATCAAAGGCCCGCCCATGGCAAAACCATTGCTCAGCTTTTCTCCAGAAAACACTTTCAAAATGCTGCCAGCCACGGCTCGGGGAAAACAGGGCTGGAAGGAAATGCTGAGGTTACCCTCAAGGCAGGCAGAGGCTTGAGTCACGATCGTACCCGCGCGCGCACACAAACACATACACATACCACACAGGAAGGCACATGCATCTTGGGCATCTATTTCTTCTTGGAAAGTGCTTGTTGACTTAATGAGAGGAAATTTTGAAGCTCAGAGTTGAAGAGTACAACCACTGAGGAAGAAGTGATTTCGCGGGGGCTGAGGGTCAGTGCCCTGCAGGGAATTTCTGTGAGGCCATGTGGAGGCATAGAGTCACCGTGAAATCCACAGAGTGATCATCTGTGGGCATTCCTGACGCCCATCCATGTCAGTGAATGGGGATGGCTCCGAAGAGCACTGTGTAGGTGTGAGTATGAAGCTTCCATGCTACGATGCTTGCTCTTGTCCTTGCAGTCTCACCTGTGTCTTCATGGCTTCTGGCTCTAGGACCAGAGCCAGGGCTCTCAAGAGTTACTTGGTGGTGGTGTCTTCCCTTTCCCAGGCAATGGGAGTAAGTGGGGTTAATTGTTGGAACAAAGTGAGGTGGCACACCCCTGCAATCTTAGCACTCAGGAGGCTGAGAAAACAGGGTCACAAATTCAAAACCAGTTTGGGCCATACAGAAAATCACTGTCTGAAAAATAAACTATTTTTTTGAGCCTTGAAGACACGTTTACTACTGAATTTCAAATCACACTTGCAAAGTAGGTGAGACATTCTTTTATCATCTTTAGAATCAAAATAGCCTTTAACTATTTTTTAAAAATTAAAGAGTTATTCATGGTTTGGAGAGATGGCTCAGTGGTTAAGAGCACTGGCTGCTCTTCCAGAAGTCATGGGTTTGATTCCCAGCACCCACATGGCCACTCACAACCATCTGCAACTCCAGTTTCAGGGGATCCAAAGCCCTCTTCTGGCCTTTGTGGTGACCAGGCACCCACATGGTGCAGAGACATAGATGCAGGTGCAGCACTCATACACATAAATTTAAATAAAAAAGTTATTCAGCCAGGCATGGTGGCTCATGCTTGCAATCCAGCATTCAGGAGGCAGAAGAGGGAGGATTGATGCAAATTTGGAGCCAGCCTTGTGTCTACACAGTGAGCTGCAGTCCAGGTAGAGTTGCAGAGTGATACTGTATATCAAAGAAGAAGAAAGACGTTATTTGTCAGGCCAGGTTTATTAGCACTGGTGGATACTTTCATCACATGTCCATCCAATACCCAGTGTTTCAAAAAATAGTATTGAAATAATTTATTTCTTCGTAAAGATTTATTTGGGATGTGTATGTATGCGGCCAGTGTCCATGGAAGCCAGAAGAAGGAATCTGTTCTCCTGGAGCTGGAGTTACTAGTGGTTGTGAGCTGCCCAATGTGGGTACTGGGAACTGAACTGGCTCTCTATGAGAGCAGCAAATGCTGAGCCATCTTTCCCATTTATTCTTTTTTGTTTGTTTGTCTTTGAAGGTTCAAGGTCTGATCATTTGTTACTCCTTTTGGAGGTTTGGGTTTTTTGTTTTGTTTTGTTTTTGTTTGTTGGTTTTGTTTTGTTTTTCGGACAGAGTCTTTCTATGTAGTCATTGCTGTCCTGGAACTCATTATATAGACCAGGCTGGTCTCCGCCTCCCCAGTGCTGTGACTAAAGGTATTCACCACCATGCCCAGCCTAATTGTCACTCTATTTTTGACTTGACTGGACTTAGAAGCAGAAGCACTCATCCAGGACAGCCTACATCTCTTGCAATCAGTTCCTGGCATTTTCCTTTGGCTTCCTTCATTCCTTGGTCAAAAGTTTAGCACCTTCTATAGCCTCCTCATTTTTCTTAGTGTATTGTTTCTTCAGAACAATTCAACAGTGTTTGTGTTACAGGATTCATGAAGGAACAAGACACTAGATCTTGGGCGCATTGGTCCTGGACCTCTCACCTTCTTTGTTTAAGGGCTTCTGACACATATTGGTGGACATGGTTCCTTTAGAGAAATGGAAAAGCTTTTGGATTCTGCTGACTCTTGAGCCCCGGCTGCTGAGGCACAGCAGTGTCTGTCAGTCTGTCAGTCAAGGTATATTCTTCTCTCCTTTTTTTTTTTTTTTTTTAACAGCCAAGGTGAGAACACTCAGATTGACACCTATAATGCATCCCGAACAGTCTTGTGCCTCTGCCCTCCCATTCTCCTCAGTCTGTAACAAGAACGCTCCTCACTCACCAGGCAGTAGTGACTGCACCTGTCATTCCAACAGAGTCAAGCAGAAGCAGGTAGGTCTTTGAGTTCAAGGCTAGCATGGTCTGCAGAGCAAGTTCTAGGACAGCAGGACTACACAGAATAACCCTGCTTCAGGAGAAAGGAAAGAAGGAAGGAAGGAAGGAAGGAAGGAAGGAAGGAAGGAAGGATGGAAGGAAGGAAGGAAGAAAAAAGAGGAGAAGGCGACGGCCCTTCACTCAACAGCAGGCACATTCTGCCATGGGTTAAGACACCTGCTTTATGGGAAAGCCTTGTTTGTTGTTCCACCACAGATTTGGACCACATAACCTTCCACTCTTCACCAGAGGATCAGCAGCTACTTCTGTGGCCATGCCCTTCTTATAGAAAGTACAAAGTTTACATTCCTCTTCTCCTTCAGTGAGTTTCTGACAGCCGGTGGCTGGGAAGGCCATACTTAGCTTTATCTTAACACAGCCTACCACCTAAAGGGTGCCATGACAGAGAGCTAAGAGAGCTCCTAATCTATTTCATTTATTTTTATGGTTTTCTGAAACAGGGTTTCTCTGTGTAGCCCTGACTGTCCTGGTACTCACTCTGTAGACTAGGCTGGCCTTGAACTCAGAGAGATCCACCCTGCTTCCCCCCTCTGCCTCCTGAGTGCTGGGATTAGAGGCCTGCATCACCACCACCCAGTCCCTATTTATTCTTATTTTGAGTGTCAACTATGTCCTGTTCTAGGTCCTCAGGAATGTGATAAACAAAGCCTCTGTCCTTAAGGCTTTTAGGGGAAAAGAGGCAGGATTAAAAAGCATTCACAAAGCCAGGCAGTGGTGGTGCATTCATGAGGCAGAGGCAGGCAGATCTCTGTGAGTTCAAAGCCAGGCTAGTCTACAGATAGAGTTCCAGGACAGCCAGAACTACTCAGAGAACCCATCTAGGGGAGGGGGGAAGCATTCACAAATAAGAAAACACCCAGCAATAATAAAACTACGAATAACTACCTCATGACTGGCTAGAGAGTGATGTGCAAAATACCTTAAGTCAAGGGATCAGACATTTAAACTGAGACCTGAAGCCAACCTGGATTATGTTTCAGGTCCGCCTGGGCTTCGGTGTGAGATCATCTTTAAAAAAAAAAAAAAAAAAAAAAAAAAAAAAAAAAAACACATTTGGGTTTAGCTGACTTAGTGATTAATTGATTGATTGGTGGATTAAGACTGAGACCTGGAGAGATCTGGGGACAGTGTGTTCCAGGTAGAGGATAGGCAGCTGCCAAAGCAAGCTTGGTGAAGAGGGAGAGAAAGAGCGCGGTGGAAATGTGAGCAGAGGCCCGGCACGAAGGCCCGTGAGGCCATGATAAAGAGCTTGGGTTTTCTTCTAAGTGCGACGAGACACCCCCAGACAGCTTTAGATAGAGACACAGAGGACCTGGTGTGCTTCTGAAGACAGAAAATGGGCTGCGGAGCGAAGAGAGCCGTCGGGATCTAAGGTGGAGGCAGGGAGCTAGCGGGAAGATGCAAAGGTGTCCGGGTGAGAGGATAGAACAGCCTGGACCAGAACAGGGTGGACGGAGGAGGAAGCGTCAGACTTAGAGCACTGATGCGGAGTTGAATCCAACGGATGAATCAAGGGTGACTTCCGGGGTTGTGTGGAAGCCGCGGGGCAGATGGTTTGCAACGAGGAAAGAGAAGTCTGCAGAGAGGAAGTTGAGAGTTTTGCTAGGAAAAGTTAGTTCACTGCGACGCCATTGGGCATCTTCCTATTACATGTTCCTGTTAAGCCATGGCTCTGGGGTCCAGAGCTCAGAAATGAGGTCAGGTGTGGGCGGCTCACAGTCCCCAAGATGTACAACAGAGGGCACATGGCCAGGGGCTCTCGGCCACTCTCGGTCCCACCTTTGCTTCCAGCTTCTTTTCTTCTTTCTCACATGCTTCTTCCGGTTTGGTTTTTGGAAGTGTTTCACTCTTAGCCCAGCCTGTCTCAGAACTTACCATGTAGCCAAGGCTAGCCTCAAAATCACAGGGATCCTCCTGCCTCCCTGGTCCTGGGATTACATATGTATCTGCCATGCTTTTCCACAGAGTGTTTAACCCTTGCTCTTTGCCTAGCTTTCCAAGCCCCAACTTAATCTAACCTTATAGGAAAGCCAGCAGAAGGCAGGCCTGGATTCTAATCTTAAGGTAAAGCCAGCAGAAGGCAGGCCTGGACACGCTGTGGTTTAACGTCCACTATGTCCACATTGCATGGCAAAAGGGGACCCTAGAGAGAGATCAGCTTTAGTGATCAGGTTACTTGAAGATGGAGAAATTACCTGGCTACTTGAGTTGGTATAGGGCAATCACATGAGCCCTAAGGACTACATAGTACCACAGTATAGGCTTGCCTATCTTTTCTGAGGCTCTGTGGATCCATCCAAGAAGCCAACCAGACAACAAAACTGAAGAAAGGCAGGTATGATGGACACAGTTATACTCCCAGAACTTGGGAGGTAGAGAGACAGAAGGTCAAGGTCACCTTTGACTACACGTCAAGTGCCAAACCAGCCAGGGCTGCATGAGACCTATCTCAAAAAACAAAACAAAAAAACCCCATTAAACTATAACAAACGGGCTGTGGCTCAGTTGGTGGAGAACCTGTTTAGCTTTCACAGAGCCCCGGGTTCCGTTCTCAGCACCACATAAATTGGTGGTGGTGGTGCACACAGTCATCAGGAGGTGAAGACAGGAGGTCAGAAAGCCAAGGTCATCCTTACTACATCCCAAGCTGGAGGCCAGCCTGGGTACAAGACCCTGTCTCAAAGAATAAATACAGTATGACAGACAGAAACAGCACAAAATTGGGACAGATGAGAAAGGCAGAGATGCCACTGAGGAGGCGTTAGATGCCATTGCTGACTTGAAGAGAGAGGTACCTCAGAGGAATGTATGAAAGCAAACAAATTTGACTTAAAGGTGTGAGCTTGGTGCAAGGGCCGGAGCCCCAGGTGAGAACAGGAGTCCCAGTCTATAGCTTCCTCTTAGGTCTGTAAGAGATGGATCGGAAGATCTACCAATGGCACACTGGACCTCCATTTGTCTGTAGGAGATAGATTGGAAGATCTACCGATGGCACTCTGGACCTCCATTTGTTTGCTTTGTTTTTCAGATAAGGGTCTCTCTCACTTTGTAGCCCCAGCTAAGCTGAAACTCACTGTGTAGCCCAGGCTTTGAACTTAGAATAATCGTCCTGCCTTATCTTCCCAAGAAATGAGTTTGCTTTTATTAGCATAATTTTACATAATGATGGGTTTCATGATGAATTTTCATGTATAATGTATTTTGATCATATTCACACACATACACACATGCTTGCCTCGCTTTTGTCTCCCCTCCTCCTCCTCTGATCTCCTTCCTCTCCCCAGCTAGTGTCCCCTTCTATTTGCATGTCCTGTTTGAATGATCCAACAACTTTCATAGGGTTTCTTATAGGAACAGGGTAAATTGTTTACAACAGCATGAGCCCCTTACCAGTGGCTTCACCACTGAGGAAAGTGCATCAATTATTGAACTTACATAAATCTCCCCAGGAGTTCCCCCCTCCCTCCATGACACTGAGTCAATAGGCCCAGCCTTGTGTAGATAATTGTTTGGTTTGGTTTGTTTTTCAAGGCAGAGTTTCTCTGTGTAACATCTCTAGCTGTCCTGGAACTAGCTCTTATAGACAAGGATGGCCTTGAACTCATAGAAATCTACCTGCTTCTCTGCCTCCCTAGTGCTGGGATTAAAGAGTGCAATACTACCTCTCTGAAGAAATTGTTTTTATGAGAAGGGGTCTCACTATGTAGCCCATATTGGTGATCCTTCTGCCTCCACCTCCCTAGAGCTGTGATCATAAGAGTTCACTATGTCCAGCAAACCTAACAAGAGAGAAATAATACGGTCCCCAGTGACGGAATGTTATCAGTCTCCCTGGTTCTTTTCAGCTCTTTTCATGGCCCCCTCCATGATATGCCAGAATTCCAACGATTATTATGCTACAATATAATCATTTCAACTTCTTTCTGTGGAGACTGGGTTCCGGGGCTTGGCAATACAAAGCAAACTCTCAAATGAGCTGTAGCCCCAGACCCATTTCTTTTTTTTTTTTCCTTTTTTTTTGTTTTACTTTGAGAGAGGGCCTAGGTCCTCCTTGCTGTATCTGGGCTGCAATAGTATCCCTCCATAGGGAATGGGCTCCCAAAGTCCATTCGTGCTCTAGGGATAAAGACTGGCTCCACTGTTAGAGGTCCCATAGACTGTCTTGGCCTCCTAGCTGGCACCCACATTCAGAGGGCTTGGTTTGGTCCAATGCTGTTTCCCCAGCTTTATGACGAGGGTCTCCATGGTATCAGTAGGTCAGGGCAACTGTTTCTGCAGGTGTCTCCAGCCCCATCTTGGCTCCTTTGCTCATCCCTCCTCCCTCTCCACAACTGAATTCCAGTAGTATGGTTCAGTGCTTAGCTGTGGGTGCCCAGACACATTTCTACTTTGTTAAAACCCCAGTTTGGGGCTGCAGAGATGGCTCAGTGGGTCAGTGATTGCTGTGCAGACACAAAGACAAATCCTCAGAGTCCACATAAAGCCAGGCACAGCATTAGGTGTCCATAATCCTAGCTCTCCTGCTGAGGGCTGGAGAATCCCTGAAGCTGGAAGATCAGTTAGCCTGATTGATTGCACCTGTGAACAGTAAAGAGCCTCTGCCTAAACCAAGGTGGGAAGTTTGGACCCAGAGTTGTCTTCTGATTTCTACATGGGGTGCCCTCACTCACACACAACATTAATACATACAATAAAATACAGTCTGAACTAGGCATGGTTACACACACCTTTAATTCCAGCACTCAGGAGGCAGAGACAGGCAGATGTCTGTGGGTTGAGGCCAGCCTGGTCTACATAGTGAGTTCCAGGCCAGGGAGAGCTATACATGAGACCCTGTCTCCAAAAACAAAACAAACAAAAATCCAATCTGGCAGAGCAGTGGTAAACACAGCTGCCTTCCCAAACCTCTCTCTCCTCCTTTTGTAACAGCACACTCTGTCCTTCTGACTGTGCCTCCTCAGGGTTCCAGGTTAAGCACCTGCATGCTTGGCTCTTATGTGTCTCCAAGGCTTCCATCTTTGCTATATTCTACACCCTTTAAGGACCCCAAGAATGTCTTGACTAGATCTTAAACAGCACCTATTCATAGATGAGCCAGGATAATGCAACAGGTGGATGCAAGGAGATGTGGCCTAGAAAAAATGTAAAAGAGGTAAAACCCAGAGAAAATGGCTAGCTGTGGAGTTGGAGGAATAGGAGGGGATTGAGGGCAACTTATAGGTTTCGGGCAGTGATGCACAAGAACTTGGAGCATTGGGGTGTTAGGGACGTAACTAATCCATCCTGACACTGAGGTGATGGAGCTGGAAATGCCCATCTGGAAGCCACCGGTTTGTTATGTTTGACACAACTGCAAGTCTATGGCAGATAACCACCAGAAGAGGTGACAGTCACCTGTAGAGTCTTGGGACATAAGCCATCAGCAGAAGAAAAGAAAAGCAAACAAACAAAGGGGAAGGTGACTTGGTGTACAATTCAAGAAGACACACCCAAGAAGGGATGAAAGGGAGCTGTGTGGAACAAGTTGAGAAGTGGTTTTCAAGCCATGGAAAGGACCAGAAGATAAGCCTAGGCAGAGTCTGTAGGTCTGTAAACTTGAGGGCACAGGAGTTTTGTGAAGGAACTTTGAATAAGTTGCTGGGGTAGAAGTCTCCCCGTAGCATGGCGGAAAAAGCGAGAGCAGATTGCATTGTCACGAAGCATGGATGGGAGAGAAGACAAGGACTGGAAAGTGGGGGTGGGGACAGCAGGGGCGTGTCTTAAGGTCACCGGACTCTCCAGGGCTGACCACATCCTGAAGCCAAGGGGAGATCTAAGTAAGCTCTCCAGATATTTACATGTAGTTATTTGTTACTTGCTTTTAATTGCAACTTAAAACCACTAACTGGGGGAGTGGGGAGATGGTTCAGCAGTTATGAGCACAGGCTGCTCTTCCCGAGGACCCAGGTTCAGTTCCCAGGACTGACATGGCAGCTCGCAACTGTCTGTGACTCCAGTCCCAAGGGATCCAACACCCTCTTCTGGCTCTGTAGGCACCAGGTTTGCATGTAGTACACACACTTACAAGCGGGCAAAACACTCACTCACACACTAGCTATATTTTTAAAAGACTGTAGTGAAGCCTGATGCACAATAAACAGGTTATGAAGCCAGGCATGACGGAACATGTTTTGTAGCCCTGGGACTCAGGAGGAAGGGTGGAAGGATCGGGTCAGGGTCCTCCTCTGCTACCCAGTGAGTTTGAAATCAGCCTGGGCTCCATGGATGAATCTTGAAAAACATCGCAAATAAAGCAAAAAAAAAAAAAAAAAAAAAAAAAAAAAAAAAAAAAAAAGACATAAAAAACATCTTGCATGTGATTCCACTTTTGGAATAAGCCAACAAATGCATAGATACCCAAAGTGAATCACTGTTTGCCACTGGCTGAGCAAATGGTAGAATGTCCTTTTGCTTCATTGGTTTGTAACTTGAGAGAAAATGACTAGATCACAGTGGTAAAAAGTAGATTACAGTTGCGCTATGAATATACCAGAAATCACAGAATTGTGCACTTTGGGTTTTAGGGTACACAAATCATACCTCAACAAAGATGTTGCATTTCTGAATTAGTCATCTAATCCCAATAATTTCAGAGACCACAGTCGGAGAGCCCCTATTATGTGGAGGTACTTCGGGGGATGGAAAGATAAGATTGGATGAGTCTAAAATGGGTCTGTGCTCAAATGGTTCACGGATAGATAGGGAGAACCACACTGGGATCTCCTTATTGGAGTCCTAGAATGTCTAACCTTGGACTGATTTTTCCTTTTTAGATCCACCGAATGGGGACAACAGTTAGCACTTTCCACAGCCAATATTTGGGAGGAGGGAAAGAATCCCCTAAGAGGCGCCCACCACCTGCTGTTGCAAGGTGCCTCTGCCCTGGTAGGAGCTCAGCTGGGGTCTTTGTTGCTGGGAAACATGGCTTCCACCTGCTCTTCCGTTACCCAGGGTCACGCGTCTGGAGCTTGCTTAGCAACGAGCCTTTTTCAGGCAGCATGGCGAGCAGAGACTCAAGCTCGAGCGACTGGAAGACCGAGGGCACACCCGTGACATTGAGCACCGCCGTGCGTGAGCACCTGCGGAAGCTGTGTCTGCGTGAATTTCCGTGTGGCACCGGGAGCTGGGTGCGTGCTCCCCACGCCGGGGGTCGGGGCCAGAGGGGAGAAGGATCCAGCAAGGGTGGACCTGGGACTGGGCCAGAGTAGCCGCAAGGAGTAGGCCCGAGTAAGTGCTACCTAGCTGCTTTGGGGGTCAGGGCATGCTCAGATACAAGTTTGAGGCCTGAGGGGAGGTTGGGATGTGGTCATTTGGCATTGGCTGATTTGGGAGTTGGGATGAACTGAGGGGCCTGGAACACTGAAGGAGTTGAGGGACCAAGTGTCCACCTTGCCATGGGGGCACCGACCCAGAATGGACTGACCCAGCACATCAAGCTGACCTTTGGCCTCATGCTAGCTTAGAACACCTGGCTGGCCAGGCTCCAGATGCCAGCGTGAAGAGCTTTGGTCTCCAACAGTTTGCTCTACAACCCCTCATGAGAAGATGCAGAGAAAATGCCCCACACCATGCTCTGGGGCTAGGGAGCTAGCTTTCCCCTTTCTGGGGATCCGGTGGGATGGGTCTTCCCCCCCTCCATCCTTGCCCCCTTTCCTCCTGTATCTGTGCTGGACTTGGGACCCCTAGGGTGCTTGCTACATGATCTCTGCCCTCTTCCAGGCTGAGAAGAGACTGAAGGGAAAAGCCAAGGGCATAGTCAGCACAGCTGGGGGAAAAAACTCTGGTCCAGCAGGGCAGGAAGGTCCTTTCCCTGTTACTTCATCTTGTGTACTCACCCTGCTCAGAATGCCAGCACCAAACCAAACCAAATAAAACAAGCCCAGAAAATCCCAAGAGCCATGTTTCAACCATTGCCTGGAGGCGGTAGATTCTGAGGAGCGACTCATCTTTTACTCACCAAAGTTCAAGTTTCACCTTTCACCTTGCCACCTCTTCAGAAAGCCTTCCCTCAGTGAATTCTCAGGTTCCCAGACTGCCCACCAAGCCTCCTGTACACACTTGTATCAAGTGCTGTGTCAAACATGAAATCTCCTTTTATTCATCACAATATTTTTAATCGTGTGTCTCTGTGTGGGCATGCGCATGTTAGGACTGGAACTCTCAGGCTGAAAGACTGAATTGGATCTCCTGAAGTTGGGATTACAGGTGCTTGTGAGCTGCCTGGCATGGGTACCAGGAACTGAACTTGGGTCTTCTGAAAGAGCGGCAAGTACTCTTAACCACTGAGCCACTTCTCCAGCCCTGAAATCTATTCTGTTTTGCACATTCAAAGTTCCCAACTCCAGAGTGAAGTGAAAACAGGAAACTGGTATTTGAACTATTTTGTGTCTTGCTGGCACACATAGGTAATCTTAGCACTTGGGAGGCTAGGGCTGGAGGACTGAGAGTTCAAGGCCAGCCTAGGCTACACAGCAAAGCTCTGCCCCCACAAATAATTACCGTGTGCCAGGAACATAGCTCAGTCAATAGAGTATTTTTCTGGCATTCACAAAGCCCTGAGTTTGAGCACCTATATCTCATCACACCTAGTGCAGGGGTGCATGCCTGTAGTCCCTCAGCTTGGGAGGTAGAAGCAGGAGGCTCAAGGGGTTCAAGGTAACCATCTGCTTGAGTTCAAATCCAGCATGGTCTTCTTAAGACCCTGTCTCAGACAACCAGGAGCAGAGCAATGGCTCAGGGGTAAAGTTCTTCCTGTCAACCCTCAGCCCTGGGGACCACATGGTAGCAGGAGACCAGCAGCTCCTGCAGATTGTTCTTTGATACCGTGATGGCTATTCTTGGTTACATATAGAATTAACTAAAAATCCAGGTAGCTGGGTTCATCTGTGAGGGAGTTTTTCCCTTAAAGTCATCTAAAGTGAAAAGGGCCACTTTTTTTTTGTTTGTTTGTTTGTTTGGTTTTTGTTCTTTTGTTTTTTTTTTTAGACAGGGTTTCTCTGTGTAGCCCTGGCTGTCCTGGAACTCATTTTATAGACCAGGCTGGCCTGGAACTCACAGATCTTTGCCTGTGTCTGCCTCCTGAGTGCCAGGATTAAAAGTGTGCACTACCATCACCTGGCTAGAAGACCCACTTTTTGGTTTTTCGAGACAGGGTTTCTCTGTGTAGCTTTGGAGCCTATCCTGGCACTTGCTCTGGAGACCAGGCTGGCCTCGAACTCACAGAGATCCGCCTACCTCTGCCTCCTGAGTGCTGGGATTAAAGGCGTGAGCCACCAATGCCCGACTAGAAGACCCATTTTTAAAGGATCTTTTGAGGTGGGAAGATCCACATTTATCTGGGCCACACCTTCAGGTGGCAGCCCACTTAAAGAACATGGAAGAAGGAAGCTTGCTCTGTTTGCCTGCTTGCTCTTCTCCCTGGCAAGTCCACTCCTTCACCGACATTAGAGCCTACTCCTTTGGGATTCTGGCATATACTGAAGATGAGTTGAGACATCCAGCCTTGTGGTCTGAATTTCTGTTGGATTCTTGGACCTTCCATTGGTAGACAGCCATTGTTGGACTAGCTGGACCACAGCCTGTAGGCCATTCTAATAAGTCCCCTTTAATCCCAAGTGGATGTATGGTTTCATAGTCTATAAATTCTGTTCCTCCAGAAAACCCTGACTTCTACAGAGTCCCATATGCACTTGCAGTGGTGAACACATGACCACACCCAGGCACAATACGGTAAGTCAGTGTGAGAAAGCTTCCATCTCTCCCTCTGCAGAATAAGTCACGCTTTCTTCCTAAAACATGTCGAACCTGGAGGAACTTGGTGCCCAAGGAGGAGGAGACCGTTAGTGTTGGAGAGGAGAGTGTGGAGGCGCTGCTGGGCCTGGTGCGAAGCGAGCACTCTCCTTGGGCTTTGCTGAAGGACTCCAGTGCTGAGGACCGGTTCCTGAGAGAACTGGCCATCCAGAACCCACTCATGATCAAAGACACTTTCTTCTACTCGTACTTCAGGTCCCTGCGGGTTGTGGACAAGGGGGTGAGCACTGGGTGTGAGCACTGGAAAGGGAGGGCAGCCTCGGGAGGGAGCGGGTGCGGGGAACCCTGTCTTAGAACTCTCCCTCGGCAGCAGGAGAGTCCAGAGAAGCTCCGTCCTGCATCCTCTTTGGCTGACTCCTTGCACACTCTGCAGTGGGCCCTCCTAGTAAAGACCTTTCAAGGGACCACACTGTTTCTTTTTACTTTGAAGTGTGAAGAGAGGGCCTGGAGAAGGCTGGCTAACATCAAGCCAGTCTGCTTTTGAAATGGCAAGGATGACGAGCCTCCCTGAGTCCTTCCTTCCTTCTCCTGTGACCCACTTAGACCATTTTGTCTGGGACTTTCTGAGTCCTGGGGAAACCCCCTACTCCTGGGCATACTAGGAGATTTGGTCACTTAGGAAAGGGAACCTCAGCCTGGAAGGGCTTCTGATGTCCTTGAGGCCACAGGAAACTGGGATTCATGGGTAGGGTGATGAGGCAGCTGGTAGCCCCTGCTCCATCTGATCCACAGTAGTTCTGGAAGACCAGGAAGGCCAACTATTGTATGATTTTCTTGGGAAGATGTAAAATTCAACAGGATGTGCCAACAGCCCTAAGAATGACTCACTGAAGTTCATGTTGATGAGCATAGTGTGTTTATTGAGCTGCTTACAGAAGCGAGGGATGCAAACATCCCCTCCCTACCCACGCCTCCCTACATCCTTCCATTCTTCCATTTACCAAAATCCTGTTTTGTTTGGCTCTGAGTTCACAGAAGGGTTTTTGCATGCCTGATTTCTCAGTACCACACAGAACTAAAGCAGTAGAGGTGACTGCAAGGTGCAGACAAAACTAGACCATGCCAACCAATGTTTATGTGTGCTCCAGGACCTCTGCTGGTCTCAGGAGACACTGTCCCACCAGGGGAAGGATGTCTTGCTTGGCCTAAAGAACAGCTAAATGGCAGCTTGCAGCAAGATGGAATTACCCCAGTGGCTGGTCCCTTGGACTGTGGTAGACAAAAGGATTCTTATTTTCCCAAGAGTCCCCTGATCCAACATAGGAAGGACATAGGACATTGGCCTGGAGATCAAAAGTCTGCTTTTAGAGTCGGGGTTGGGCTGCAAGAGCCCCTTAAACTCTCAGAACTGTGCTGGGGGAAAAGATTGGGAAGTTGGTAGAGCTGGGGCTTAACTCAGAATGAATGAGCCGTTGCAGAGCTTCAACCGGGAGAGATGTCCCCCACAGGTGTCAGGGGTCTGGACACTTGTTCCCCAGTTCTTGTGAGAGGCATTGGAGCCTTTGGGAGGTGCAGTCTTGCTGAAGGAAGTCAATCACTGAGGGTCTGTCTGAAGCTTCCTCTCACTTCCTTGTTCTTTCTGCTTCCTGCATGTGGTTGCCATGTGATCACTCAGCTTCCTGCTCCTGCAGCCAGGCCTTCCTGTCCACTAGGAACATCTAGCCCTCGGCAGCCAAAAGCCAAAACAAACTCTTTCTTAAGTGGCTTTGTGGTGGTGTTTGGTCACAGCCCCAGAACAGTGGGCTAACACAGCTGACACTGCCCTGGTGTCATGTGCTACCTGGCTCGCCAGAGTCCTCTATTTCCTTTCTTCCAGGTGAGTCTGGTGGACAAAGACCTCTTGAAATTTCTGAAGCTGGAGGAGTTGATTCTGAGTGCCAATAAAATTGAGGAAATTGATGCTAACAACCTGCCCCCGACACTGAAGGTACAGGTTCTGTCTGTGTGGGGTCTCAGAGCCAGCAGCTCCGAGGTCCCCCCCCAACCTGTCCTGCACTGCTCTGGCTAGGGTGGCTGTGTGCTGAGACTCAGCCCCAGGCTTATACAACATAGGTCATGTTACTCCAAAAGGTACAGAATCCTACTGGACTCTGCAGTCCCTCTCTTCCACGGTGCGTGCGTGCCCACAAGAGCCAAAGGAAGGCCTCAGGGCAGTTCTTATTCACTAGCCCTGCAAGTCACAACAGCTAGAAGTGGGAATGCTACCTGTGACCCGATGAACAGATAAACAAATGTGGTCTCTCCGTCCAATGGAACATTGTTCATTGATAAAAAAGGAAGGGCATTGATAGTCACCTAGAAAAATATCACGCTAGATGAAAAAAGCCAGATTTTTAAAGAGAGATTTTTTTTGGCATAGTTTCTTAATTTTTTTCCAACTTTTTTTATTTGAATTAGAAACAGGATTGTTTTACATGACAATCACATTTCCCTTCTCCCACCCGTCCTCCCCTATCCACCCCCACCCCCACTAAAACCTTATCTGTCACATATCTTTTCTGCTCCCCTGGATGGTGAGGCCTTCCATAGGGTGTCATCAGAGTCTTTCGTATCCTTTGGGATAGGGCGTAGGCCCACCCATCTGTGTCTTGGCTCAGGGAGTATTCCTCTATATGGAATGGGAAGAGAGATTTTTTTTTAAGATTATTTATTTGTATTTTTATGTACATTGGTGTTTTGCCTTCTGTGTGAGGGTGTTGGATCCCCTGGAACTGTAGTTACAAACAGTTGTGAGCTACCTTGTGGGTTCTGGGAGTTGAACCGGGTTCTCTGGAAGAGCAGCCAGTGCCCTTAACTGCTGAGCCATCTCTCCAGTCCCGAGAGAGAGAGAGAGAGAGAGAGAGAGAGAGAGAGAGAGAGAGAGAGGTATAATGGCACTTAATGAAATATGTGGAAGTGAAAAGTCCACAGAAACAAAAAGCCAGCAGAGGTCTCCGGCTCGGAAGGACCAGGAGAACTTACTGCTTAGTGGGCTTTTTGTTTGCTTGTGTTTCTTTCAGATATCTGTTTGAGGTGGAGATGGTAGCTGGCATTATGAATGTAGTGAAAGCCTGTGGATTGTATACTTGGCAGGCAAATTTACATGATAAAAATTTGACATGTTAAAACAATAGATGAGTATTAGGGAGATAGCTGTCAGTAAAGGGATGCTTTGCAAGCATGAAGACTTGAGTTGGGGCCCCAGAACCCATATGAAAAATGTGGGGTGTGATTTTAATGTCAGTGTTAATGTCAGGGATCATTGAGACTGTCTAGCCCCCAGCCTGTCTGTATAGTAAGTTCCAGGTCAGTGGGAGACCACCTCAAAAAACATGGGAAATAGCTTTTGAGGAAGCTGAGGCTGTCTTCTGACCTATGCACACAAACACACACACACACACACACACTAATGTATACACACAAAACAGATAAAACTAACTTATATACACAAAGCATATTCAAAGGGTAGACCAGACTTTATCCTGAGTCTTCAGCTAAGCATATCAAAGTGGCACCACTGAGAATAGCGGTCTTAGTGCCTTGTCCCCAGCCCGTGCTCAAGACAGTACCAGATGGACCTTAGGCAAGAAGGAATGCTGCTAAAGCAGATTTTATTCTTTGGCCCACCCCATCCCTGTATATTCCTATGGGCTAAGAAAGTGCTAGGGTATGAGTTCAAGGCCAGTGGTCTCCAGATCAAGTTCTAGGATAATCAAAGCTACACAGAGAAATCCTGTCTTGGAAAAACAAAAACAAACAAGCAAAAGATTCTAGACTGTACTCGTCTGATCCCCACCACTCCCTACCACCTCCCCTTCTAAACTGTAAACAACCTTCCCTTCTGCTACAGTGGGTTCTTCCTGTCCCCCTACCCCCATTTCCTTTCTCTCTTGAGACAAGGTGTTGCTGTGTAGTCCAGGCTGACTTGGAATTTGCTGTGTAGCCCAAGCTAGGCAGGAAGTCAGAGCCTTCTGTTTCTGGGCCCTGAGTACTGGGTTATAGTACTCTTCCTATGTTAGTTTTTATGTTTTCAGTTTTATTATTTTGTGCCTTGGTGCATGTGTAAGGTCAGGGAAGAACTTTACAGTTGTTTCTCTCCTTCCATCTTGGGATTTGAGAACTCTGGTCATCTGACTTGCACACCAAATGCTTTTACTAGTTCCCTCCCAACCCCGCCTGTTTTTTGAGACAGGGTCTTATGTACTCTAGCCTAGACTCAAACTCACTAAGTACTAAGAGTCTTGACTCTTTTGGGGGAGGGGTTGAAATCAGGGTTTCTCTGTGTAGCTTTGGCTATCCTGGAACTCACTCTGTAGACCAAGCTGGCCTCGAATTCACAGAGATCCTCCTGCCTCTGCCTCCCCAGTGCTGGGATTAAAGAAATGTGCCACCACTGTCTGGCAGTCTTGAACTCTTTTTTGTGGGGGATGGAGGGTGGGTGAGACAGGGTTTCTCTGTGGCTTTTGAGGCTGTCCTAGCACTTGCTCTGGAGACCAGGCTGGTCTGGAACTCACAGAGATCCACTTGCCTCTGCCTCCCAAGTGCTGGGACTAAAGGCGTGTGCCACCAACGCCCAACAGTCTTGAACTCTATCCTCCTGCCTCCCCCTCTCAGATACTGGGTTACAGGAGCACACCATCATGCTGGGTTACTCAGAGCTAGAGATAGCACCAGGGTCCTGCACATGCTAGGTAAGGTCTCCACCAACCGAGCTACACCCCAGCTTCTTACTGTATTTTTTAAAGCAAGTTGGCACCCAGACTCCCTTCTGCTGAGTTTCCCAGGGCAGCATTAGGAGCCCGGTAAGGGAGACAAACCCCTGCAGTCATGGCTGGCCTGTCCTTTCTCAGGTGCTGGAGCTGTATGGCAACTTGATCACCAGTATGGAGTGTCTGTGCTCACCTGCACCCCCCAACCTGCAGCACCTGGGGCTAGGCCAAAACAAACTGCTGGGTTCTCTGGAGAGTCTGTATGTCACCTCCAACAACTGGTAATTTGGGAGCCCCGATGGATGGAGGGAGAGCTGTTGAGACAGAGGTGTGAGTGACTGGGCCCTGAAGGACTCAGTTTTGTGTGTTCTGTGACTTATACATGGCTGCTAAACCCACACTCGGATTTTATCTCACTCAGTCACAATGTCCCACTGAAGTCCGGGAGTGACAAGGATGACAGGGGCTGGTGGCCATGAGTGAAATCCATACTTATAACAGGGTCCTCAGCTTAGCTCTGTGCAGCACTCTGGCCTGCAGCTGCTGGGTCTCTACCTCTCCCTGCCCTTCCTTGTGGAAATCAAAAATCTCTCCAGGCAGAGCCCAAAGTCTTCTATGGGGTAAACCACTCCAAGCTGAGGACCACTGTCTAGAGACAACTCTTGGGTGCTCCATTGTAGCTGAACATCCATTAGAGCATGTGCAGGGCACTCCCCCCACTCCCCACCCCCATTTTATGTCTCCTTGGTGGAATAACAGTGGAAAATTTCAAATTCGGGATAGGAGAAGTGTGAAGAGGTCAGATGCCATTTATAAAAGGCCTTCACAGGCACAGAAAGATGGCCCTGTGAGAAGCCTCAGGGTTTTAACTCCTGTGGGTATTTCCATACGTGGAGTTTTGTACTGCCCCCTACCCCTTCTGTTTCCCCTTCCCTTCCCCTCACCCCTTTCTTTTGAAGACAGGATCTAGTGTAGCCCAGGCTTGCATCAAACTCAATGCGTATCTGAAGATATGGTAAACGCCCAATCCCCCTCCTTCACCCCACCCCGGTATCTTAAGGATGGTCTAACCATTCCCTCCTTGGGATGGAAGGTGCCATGGAAAGGGAAGGCCCTCTCTGTCTGGCCTCAGGCTTCCTCCCTTCTCTGCTGCTCTCATCCAGTCTGCATAGTTGTAGGCTCACTGGGACCCCTTCCTTCCATTGTCTGCTGCCTTCAGCAAACAACACAGATAGGAAACCATGTACTTGATCTTCCTGGGACAGCCAGTTTAGGTTCATGCCATCAGCTGAGGGCAAGTGTCTGGCTTTTTGTTTTGTCTTGTTTTATTTTTTGAGACAAGGTTTCTCTGTGGCTTTGGAGGCTGTCCTGGAACTAGCTCTTGTAGACCAGGCTGGTCTTAACCTCCCAGAGAACTATCTGCCTGCCTCTGCCTCCCGAGTGCTGGGGTTAAAGGCATATGCCACCACCGCCCTGCTGTATCTGGCTTTTTGATTCAAAATATGTATCATGACCTTGGGCTTAATGCCAATTCTGGGTTTCACAAAAAGCTTGCATGAAACCCATTTTTCACTTTTAAAAGGGAGCTCTTTCCTGGGAATCCATTTCTCCCTAGTTCTCTTGAGGAAGGGTGACATTGTGCAAGGCTTGTGATGATCCCCTATATTGTTCCTCTTGCCATTTTCCAGGGACTGGCCAATAACCATCATAGTAGAACAGGCCATGGGTAGAGGGGAGACAGAGGAGATCAGCCTGTGAGAAAGCACTGGGGTGACCATGACAGTTGGTGTGACAATGTTCCCTGGTGCTTCCTTGGCCTCCGGCCTCGGTCAGCTTGCTCTGTGGTTTGTGGCGTGGGGCAGACCTCTACCTGCTCCTGTCTTCATCTCTACTGGATACCTTGGCTTCATCTTTTCCCCCCCACCTTTTTCAT